GCCTCTTCCTTAAAACCCTTGTCTGATAACTATGGGAGTCTGCTAGCAGGAGGCTTTTTGGAATATGGAAGCTCCCCTTAACAATAAGGAGGCACCCAACCCCTGATACTGTGTAAATAGCACACAGAGACAGTTTTAGACAAGTTCTTTATTAAGAAAGTCCCACAATGTACCTCCACAATGCCTGATGATGGAAGGCAAAAACAAATGAGCTAATCTAATAGTCCAATCATCTGAGTTGTCATCGGCAGAAGGAGGGACAGGGATAGTGGTGACATCATTGCACACAAATGGCCACAAATGATTTGACTGCCATAGCACATGAAGTTTTTTCAATGAAGTAGGCTGCAATTGCTTATCCATGACTGGTCCATTTTCATAAAACTTAGCTGGTCTACAGTGTCATGGGGACTATCTCTCTGTCGCAAAATCCTATGCTGCAATGAAAGCCCTCTCAGAAAGCAAACTGGCCACAGGGCAAGACATTTTGCAAGCTCTGTAAAGTGGTCCAACCTGGGCACCCAACAGTCAATGCTGTCCACACTTTAAAAGATGTGTGCATGAGACCTGGACCTCAAATAGTCTGCAATCATTTAGTCACTGCCCATGACTGTTGCCTGCAGCTGAGCCTGTCCTCTGTGGTTAGAAAAATTACATAAAGCATTGCATTGGCAGCAACACCCACCACTTCTCCTCCTTTCAGAGACTTGAAGATTTTGGGCACCTTATGCATAAGATAGGATTCTGCCACTATCTGAAACGCTAGTTCTTTTGCAGCACCTCTTCCCTGTGGTGCATTTTTTCATTTTCAGGTTATTATTATTTATCACCAACAGTTTAAGCAATGCTTTGTAAAATAAAGGGAGACGGCACAGTTGCAATACAATGCAAAATAAGATGGTTAGGAGGTCAGGAGAAATTACAATCTAAAAGAGAAGGGGAAATGACACATACAATAACTGTGGTAGATGAGTTGATGGAAAAGATAAAAGTTAAATTTTTAGGCAGAGCTGGGGTAAACTTCCCTGAAAATATGCGTTCTCAGGGATTGCCTAAAAGTGGACAGAGTAGGAGATTGTGGTAGGTCATTTCAGAGGATGGGAGAAGCTCTAGAGATGTCTTGGAGTCTAGCATGGGAGGAGGCGAAGAGGAAGCTAGAGAACAATAGGTTTTGGGAGTAATGAACAGAGGCAGAGGTGTGAATGGCTTTATACATCCACTTGAAGACCACAATACGTATATAAACTTTGCGGTTTCTAGGGGTTATGGCTAAAGAAATCAGCCAGCTCGCTGCTTCTAGGTGTTTCTCGGGATTACCATTAAAACCAGTGCACCAGAGAAGCGATTTGATGGCGTGGCCAGCTGAAGAAGGAGGCGATGAGAGACTCTATGGTCTCTCATCATGATGGAAGAGTGGAGTGATGTCATGATGTCACATCCAGTCAGCAGATATATAAACTTTGCGGTTTTCAGGTGGTTTAGCGTGTTATGGCTAAAGAAATCAGCCCACTCACTGACTGTGTGGTGGTGTAGCCAGCTGAAGATAGAGGGGATGAGAGACTCTATAGTCACTCATCGCCTCTATCATGATGGGGACTGGAGTGACATCATGATGTCACATACGGTCAGCAGCAGATGTAAACATTTTTTTTCTTTTTTAAAGCAAAAGTTAAAAAACATTTTTTTTATATTTTGCTTATAAAGGTAAAGGAGAAATTTGGGGTTTTTTTTTACTCCAGATCTCTCCTTAAAGAGGACCTGTTATGCCTATTTTTATTTCACGGGATGTTTACATTTCTTGTAATAGGAATTAAAGTGATTAAAAAATAATTTAACTTACCACTTGCTCACCGGGTACTTTTACCCCCTTTGTTCCCAGGCCAATTTTCATCTTGCAGCGCTCTCACACTTTGAATGAAAATTGCGCAATCATGCAACATTGTACCCATGTGAACTTTTCTATCATTTTTTTTACACAAATAGAGTTTTCTTTTCGTGGTATTTGATTGCCATAGGGTATTTTATTTTTTGCACTATAAACAAAAAAAGGGCAAAAAAAAAGTTTTTCTTTGTTTCTATTATAACATTTTGCAAACAGGTAATTTTTCTCCTTCATTGATGTGCGTTGATGAGGCTGCACTGATAGGCAGTACTGATGGACACTGTTGAAGTGACATGGATAGGCAGTACTGATGGACACTGATGGGCACTGATGAGGTGACATGGACAGGCAGCACTGATGGGCATTGATAGGCTGCACTGATGAGGTGGCACTGGTGGGCATTGATGAGGAGGCACTGATGATGCTGCACTGGTATGCAGCAGTGATGGGCACTGATAGGCGGCACTGACGTGCAACACTGATGTGTGACACTGATGGGTGGTGCTGACTGGCGGCACTGACTGGTTGCCCAGACTGATGGCACTGACTGGCGGCACTGCTTGGACCTAATGGGTGGCACTGCAGGGCACTGATGGGTGGCACTGCTCGGTACTGGTGGGAGGCACTGTTGGCCACTGGTGGGTGGCACTGCTGGGCACTGACCATCAGGGCACTGATCATCAGTGCCCTGATGATCAGTGCAGATGCCCTCTGTGACAGTTGCCGGTTATCGGCAGTACTTTCCTCATGCTGTGACAGCGTGAGGAAAGTGCAGCCGATAACTGGCAACTGTATTTACTCGGTGATCTGCTGTGTCATTGGACACAGCAGATGATTGGCCGCTGTGATTGGCCTTTTACCTCATCGGGTGATCAGCTGAGTCCGTAGAACACAGCGATCAAAGACAGCGCCGGGTGCACACCTCTGGGAGCATGCGGGAAGGCATGTTCTAGGAGCAAGAGCAATAATTCTAGTGAGACCTCCCTTTTTTTTTTTTTTTTTCCCTTCCTTATTTTCGGACCTCATATGACGCCCTCCCAGAACTGGAAAACTGTGCTGTAGCTGTCATTCGGCTATAGCAGGGTTTGCAAGTGGTAAAAAAGGACAGTGTGAAAATAAACAAATAAATAGGAAAAAAATGTAAAACACCCCCATCCCTCCATGCTTGAAGTGAACGAATACGTAAATCACGCACTCGTATGTAAATGGTGTTCCCAGAACAGATGTAAGGTATCGCCATGAACTTTAGAGCAAGAGCAATAATTCTAGTGCTAGACCTCCCCTTCCCCCGAGACTCTAAACAGGTAACCTGTAAATTTTTTTAAAGTGTCGCCTATGGAGACTTTTAAGTACCATAATTTGTTGCTATTCCACAAGCATGCAATTTTAAGGCGTGACATGTTAGCTACAGTATCTATTTACGTGATGTAACATCCTATTTCATATTTTACAAAACATTGGGGTATGTATTGTTAGTTTGTTTTTTTTAATTTGCTAAAGTGTATTTAAAAAAAAATTGTGTTTGAAAAACTAAAACTAAAATACTATGCGGCATGAAAAATTGCAACGAACGCTATTTCATTATCTAGGATCTTTGCTAAGAAAAAAAAAAGTGTTTTTATATATAGATATCTATATATATATAGATACATATACACTCTATATAAAATGTTTGGGGGTTACAAGTAATTTAGTGGAGATTTACCACATTCATTTTCTTCTTTTCCTGAACTGTGAACAACTTGTTTGGTGTTTATCACAACCTCATGTTCAACCCCAAGTTCATCCCCACTCCTTCATAAAAGAGTATGTGTTGGCCCTGGAGCCACTGTAGTCAGAAATCATGGAGTTAAAGTACCCCCTACCTAGTATCACACATCCTTCCCCCTTGCTCCTCACTGTCCATTCATCTACAAGGAGAACAGAAAGGAAACCACTCTATTTGGATCTTACACAGGGCTCAGATCAGGAGTTGGAAGTAAGTCACATTCTCATCCCTACCCAAATGTACTGGGTGATTTATTTGCACCCAACAGCTAAAAGAAGATGCAAATGAGTAAAGGGAATGCATGTATGTGCTTCTGGAGCATTAAAGAAACTTTATCCAGCATGGACAAAGCACAGGTTTGCTTTAGGACGAGGTGAAAATCCAGTGCTGTATTGTTTAGAATTATTTAACAAGCAAAAGTCCAAAACCATTCAAGAAAGCCTGCCCACTCAAGACCACTCAAGAAAGCTTACTTAAAAATTCATCAATAAAAGTAGAACTATTGGCCATTTTTTTTTTCATATTCACTTTATTTTTGCTCCCATTGGGGAGAATTCCCTTACCTTCCTGTCCCATAGCCAAAATAGGAAGTGAGAGGAAATCCCTGCAAATTAAGGGAATCCCAAAACAAAACAAATAGAAAATCTCCCTAATAGGCACAGACAAAAATAGAAACTGGCAGGTGTTTTAATTCCTCTCTAAAACAAAAAAACTTTGCTGTATATACAGCCTGACAAAATCACAAAATCTTTAAAACAGAAATGTAAGTACATATATAGTGTTTGTGTGTGTGTGTGTGTGTGTGTGTGTGTGTGCACGCTTGTGTGCATGCTATTTGCATGGTACATATTTTTAAAGAGTTTTAATATTTCCTCAGGTATTCAGGAAATCTGTTCTTGGTTGTTGAGATGATACAAATTTGTATATTTTCTACCAAAAAAACCTTGCATAAATGTGTGTTTGCCTAGGAAAAATGGTAAAGAAAGTTAAAGCTAACAACTGGTACTGGAATAAGCCGTTTTTTATTTTTTCGCAATTTTCTTTGACATAGTGAGTCTACCAAATTTTTCTGTGAAAAATGTTATAATACTAATTTTAATCTAATGTGTTTTCATAGTTTACAGTTTTGCTATATAATTTTTTTAATTCATATCTACTGTATATTGTGCTGTATAGTCACACATTTTCAATTTTTGCATTTTATTAGGTAACATTTTTGCAGTTGTTTGTTATTAAACTATTTGTTTTTTATCTTCAGAAAGAATTATCGTGAACATCATGATCTCAGCAGTCCTGGTTTTTCTACTTCTGAGTGCCTCAGCAACATGTACTACATTTGATACTACACTGATGAAATCATGTGAAGATTTGTGTTTGTGTGATGAAAAGGATGGTTCCTTATTTGTGAACTGTGAAGAGAAAGGCATTACACAATTATCAGAAATCAAAGTACCCCAGTCTCCATATCTAGAGCTTAACCTTTTAAACAATGGTTTGTATAAGTTACATTTAAATGAGTTTTTGGAATTCAGCAATTTAATTTCTTTACACCTTGGATTTAATAACATTGTGGAGATTGAACCAGGAGCATTTAATGATCTACGCATGCTGAAGAAACTTCATATTAATCACAACTCACTTGAGACACTCAGAGAAAATACTTTTCTTGGACTTGAGAATCTGGAATTCCTCCAAGCAGATAATAACTTTATTACTACCATTGAAGCAAATACATTCAGCAAGCTTAACAGACTGAAAGTTCTAATCCTAAATGATAATGCCATTAACTTTTTGCCAGCAAATATTTTTCGCTTTGTACCTTTGACTCATTTGGACTTAAGAGGAAATCAACTACAAACTCTTCCTTATGTTGGATTTCTAGAGCACATTGGAAGGATATTAGAACTTCAGTTGGAGGACAATAAATGGATTTGCAACTGTGAATTATTACAGCTAAAAATCTGGCTGGAAAATATGCCTCAACAGTCTTCAATAGGTGATGTTATTTGCTATAATCCTCTAGAGCTTAAAGGTGCTATTCTGCGAAAATTGAAGAAAGAGATGTTCTGCATTACAACTCCTAGTAGTGACCTAGAGGAACCCTCCGTACCGTTATCATTGTTAGGTACATCTTCCATTAGTGATGGACAGATACCAACAAAGTTAACTCTCCTTCCAAAGATTCCAACTAAAGAAACCTATGTATTCCCAAAGGCTTCTACTGTACCTCCTGGAATTTACTGTCCTATTCCATGCCATTGTTCTAACACTGGTTTCTCTGGTACTTTAATTCATTGTCAAGAACGGAACATTGAAAGTATGTCTGACCTCGAACCGCCTCCTGTAAATCCAAGAAAGTTAATTTTGGCAGGCAATATTATTCACAGAATTTATAAAAATGATTTTACTGAGTATGGAACATTAGAAATGATTCATTTAGGCAACAATCAAATTGAAAGAATTGAAGAACTGTCTTTTCAGAACTTGACTAAATTGCAGAAGATGTACTTGAATGGAAACCATCTTAGAAGTTTAAATCCTGGAATATTTATGGGTCTTATTGCCATTGAGTACTTATATTTGGAATACAATGCTATTAAGGAAATTATACCTGGAACTTTTTCCGTAATGCCAAAATTGAAAGCCCTCTACCTGAATAACAATTTTCTGAAAACATTACCAGAGAATGTGTTTTCAGGGGTCCCATTAACAAAGCTAAACCTTAAATCTAACCAGTTTGTAAGCATCCCAGTTAGTAATGTTTTAGAAGATCTGAGTTTGCTGACCCAAATTGAAATTCAAGACAATCCATGGGATTGCACATGCAACATACTTGGATTAAAAAACTGGATCCAAAATCATAAAATACTTGTTGTCAGTGAGATTTTGTGTCATTCTCCTAGAGAGCTAGCAAAAATTGAATTGAAATCTCTGGACAAAGAAGATTTATGCCCTGAATTAATAAATAATCCAGTGTTCCCTACTGAAAGTTTCAGCAATCTTACTCCACCTTTCACAGCTGCAAATCAAGTTGACAATTTACTAAAATCTCTGTCTGATTACATACCCCTTTCCGTTTTAATCCTCGGCCTTCTAATTCTTTTAATAACAGCTGTACTTTGCTCTGCTGGAATAATTGTTCTTGTGTTGCATAGGAGGCAACGCTACAAGAAGAAACAGGAAAATGGACAAATAAGAGAAGCAAACCCTGTCCACATCCAGTACAGTATGTATGGCCATAAAAAACAACTCACCACACCACAGAAAGGCCAGCATCAACTATTTCTGAACATCGGATATCAAATCCAATTGTTCAGGTGTATCAAACACCCCCATTCACACCAAAACATTTAGAAAAAGAGGAAGATACAGAACTTAATGATCCAAAGAGAATTTGCAGAGGACTGTTAGAAAAGGAAAATAATTCACAGCAAGGTGATTCAAATGTAAAATTAAGAGCCAGTGATCCAACAGCAGAATTTTTATCCTTCCAAGATGCAAGTTACCTTTATAGAAACTTGATTGAAAAAGAAAGAGAAATACAACAACTTGGGATTGCTGAATATTTAAGAAAAAGCATGGCACATTTGCAACCAGATATTGAGGCACATTATCCAAGGACCCGTGAGGAAGTAAAATTAATGGAAACACTTATGTATACCAGACCAAGGAAGGTTTTGGTTGAGCAAACCAAAAATGAATATTTTGAACTTAAAGCTAATCTCCACGCAGAACCTGACTACTTAGAAGTTTTAGAGCAGCAAACATGAAATTCACTTAATATTAAGACTTACAGAATACTTCATTTTGAACTCCGCTGGGATAATATGAAGTGCCTTAGTGAATTGTCTTAATCAGACACTAAATAAAACCCACTCATGAAACCATTTGGAAGCTCAGGGATATGTAGATATCTGGAAATGTTCTTGTGTTTTAAGACAAATACTGGATGTTGTTAAAGAAACTGTATATAATAATGTTATAAATTACTTTACCACTTTATTTATATTTTGTAAAATAAACCATGAATAAGTTTGAATATTCACTTTACCAGTAAAATGTCTTAGAATTAGCTACTGCCAATGTAACCAGGGAAGGGATAAAGTCTACCAAAATTACAAGTGTTGCTATAATATCAATGTTGGATTGTGGCATGCTTGTGTTTTCAACCTCCTGTGTAATTAGTAATAATTCTATGTAGGGAAACAAATATGAGTTTATTATGCACATACAGTGTTGGTGTACATATCTGCAAATATATTTACATATGTGTTTGTGCCTATGATTTTTGTAATTATGTATATAAGATTGTATATTTTGAGTATAACTTACACTCATACTTATTCAGATAAATTTAATAGCTATAAATTAACTAGAGATTTGTGAACATTTAAAAATCTGATTTGACCTTCCTCTACATAACACATTAACAAAATACAATATTGTATTCAATAAGAAGCTAAAGCATATTCTATAAAAGCTGTCAAAATAAATTAAACTTTTTGGTTGTTAGAATTTTAGTGTGTTTCCACCACTGTGTTTTTCACAGTATTTTATTTTATTTGTTTTTTAGCGATATATTTCACCAAAATCCTCCATATGTTTTCCACAATCTTTAATGTCTCCATGAAAAAAGTATCCAAATACAGTTATTTGCATATAATTAAAGGGTAACTGTATTTAAAAAGAAGTCATGCCTTCATCCCAACATCTTACTCATCAAGTTTATAAATATAATCATAGACCTCAATTTTAAGAGACCTGGTCTTGTCACTACCGTAGCCTGCCCAGTGCCTAGAAATATTGGCATTTTGCAATGTTCTGTTGGTTTTATGAATCCATTCTGTTATGAATAATGGATGCATGTGGGACAGATGTTAATTTTTCTCTATGACCAAATCAAAGGTTTACCACACAGCAGGGGCGGACTGACCATTTGGAAACACGGGGACTGCCTGAGGGCTCGGAGTCAGTAGGGGGCCCCATGAGATGCCCCTGGTACCTTTTTCATAGGCTTTTTTGAGTTTGGGCAAGGACACAGGGGCCCCATGATCCCCTATTGCCCGGGGGTCCCTTGAGTTGTCAGTCCGCCCCTGCCACACAGTCACTGTATTGCTGCATTATCTAAAGGTTGCTAGGCTCTGGACAAGCCATGTGCATGAACAGTGGCAGTTGCGTGCACATGATTCACATGAGTGACATTTATCAGCATAATAAGGATGATAAGGTGTGAGTGGCATAGGCCTTGTTTTTTAAGGTGCATTTATGATTTAACTGATTATGGTAGAACAACTGGTTGAAAAAAGTGTGTAAAGTACAGTTAAACATGCCCTTAAAGTTTTATATAATACTCTTTCTGTCCCTAAGAATTTGGATTATTCAAAGCAAATATCAAACTGTAAATAGTTTAAATTGGAGTAAAATCTGAAAAGAACTGTGTTTTTGTGTAGTAGCATCTGTACATGGATATTCACTTTTCAAAATATGTATTTTTTTTTCTAAAAATGCTTTTTTGCTTAGAATTTCACTGCTACTGTTAAGATGTCACAAAACAACAGAATTGTTGAGAAATGCACTAAAGCTTTATACTACTAAATAGGTAGGTTTGTATAAGTTATTTATTTTCCATTTTTATATATTCATTTCTCACAAACGCTCTGTACTTTCAGTGCCTTTAAAAAACAATAATAAATGAATTAACAACATTTAATCAATGTCCATTTTTATTATATAGAAATTAATGCTACCTAATACATGTATTAAAGGAAAATTGTTATACTGTAAGTGTCAAATCCTTGCATTTGTGTTTACAACACTTGTTAACATTTTTTAATTTTCCAAAATCTTAGAAAATAATGGCATACTGTAAAGACTACCAGACCATGCAAGCTTATAGTATCACCATATATGATAAATTTGCCTGTGGTGCGTACAGCAGTGCAATTTCCACTAAACCCAGGGTGCTGCAATCTGCAAATTGCAGCAAGAGCTATTATTCTGCTTTTTCCCTTTTATACATTTAATGTTCAGGCAAGAAAATACAGGACTGGAGTGAGACAGACCAGAGTGCATCTGTGGAAGCTATTTGTGTATTAGACCCCATAGTGGAAGTAAACTAAGGATACTGCTCAAAGAACCTGGGGCCTAGGTACGATAAAATTAAAGGTTCCCTTTAAATTAATAATCCTTCCACTTGATATTCAGCTTTAGAAAGATACCATTGTGTTGAATAGCTAGCTTTTTAATTATTTTTGGAAACATTTGCAGTGAGATCTTCTAAATTCCAAGGTCTATCCATCTGTCAATTATACATTTCAAGAATGTAGGAGACCTCATAAAGTTAAAAAGAATGGTGATTCAGCTACAGCAGTCAGAAATTATTGGTATAATATAAGCTAATTAGACAAATAATGATATCACTTCACTCAAGGCAATTGTCTGGCAGATGTGTAGATCCATCAGCCTCAGTGTGTTTTAAGTCAATGACCATGAGCAAACAGAAAAATCAAGTGTACTAAAAGCACTAAAAAAATTTTTTGAAAATGAAAAAAGCACTAGTAACAGAAAATGGTGTCGTAATTACAGACTGGTGCTCAAGCGTTTAATCTATTAATAAGCATTGATGGACTGCCGTTACAGTAAATACCATAAAGCTGGGTACACAGAGGTAGTTTTTATTTCTTTTTACCAGTGCACTGAACAACAAAAAAAAAAACAGATTCCTGCATCCACACAAAAGAGGTGGTTGCAGCAATCCTCTTGATGTGCTATTGTATTCTTTCAGTGGGATTCCTCCACTGTCAGAATACACTAATCAGCACTGCAGCTGATTGCCTGCAAGTTACTGATTGAAAGAACTTTTCTAGCAGGACCTTCAACAGTAGCAGATCAACTACAATAGCACCCCCTTGTGGTGCTGTTGTATTCTGACAGCGGGACTCCTCCTCTGTCTAAATACACTGATCAGCACTGCAACTGATTGGCTGTAAGTCATTGGCTGAACAATGTTTTCAAGTACGACTGGTCGACAGAAGCCCATCTAATTATCGGCTTCTGTTGAACTGGGAGTGCTACACCTCCCTGCTGAGCCAGCCAACTTTTAATCCATGTGTACCTAGCTTTAGAGCTTTAAATGAACAAGTAAGGTATGCATTTACATTAACTACAAGGCAATTACAATTTTCTGGATAAAGCGAGGAAGGGTTAGAAATCCTGTTGTTGATTTCTATTACCTTCTGGGTACTGCTGAAATGACTCACCCTCTCTAGTTGTTCTAGTAACCATTGTCATTGGGACTGAAAGGGCCAGAAAATTCCTAGATATGAGTAAATTAATTCACCAGGTCCAAATAAGACAAGGATAAGAATTATCAGCTTTGTGGAGATACTCTTGAAATTTTAGCATGTTTGCCACTTTTCATTTTCAATGACACTTCGTGGGATTTCCCACTGTGCATTTCTGCTTTTCCCACAGTCAATAAATATGAGTTGCATCATAAAACACCACCCACATATAAAAACATTATGGAAGAACATGCACACCATGTTTTGCCTATTGATACTGTCTGTGCCACAATGCTGCTCAAACACTAGCACAGCTATCTATAAATGTAAGTACTTTTACTCCGTGGGCCTAAATTATTATAAAGGAAATGCTTAAGAGTAGTACGAAATCACTATGAGGATGTTAATCATACCTGTGCTGTGGGCTCTTATGAATGTACAATTGCATACTTATTATAAACTTTCAACTGATCTGAGACAAGTTGTGTCAGTTGCACAATACACAGTGTAATGTACTGAGCTATTATTAAGCTGCTAAAGTGCTATGATGAATGACACCATCAAATCCCTTTCCAAAAATATCATTCACCTGCACACCTTAATTTACAGTATAAAGAATAAAGTTTGTATTTCATCATTGACAAAGAATATTTTGTAGTCACACTTGATCCTATTGCTTTGATAATAGAATTAGTGGTGAGCCCAACTGCCCTGGGTTTGTTTAGGCAGGGGTTTGGCAAATTTCAAAATAAATGTGGATGCTGAATGTGAACCCCACTGAAGTCAATGGAACTGAATCTTTTTTATTACAAAATCCCATTTTGTGAACTAATAGGCAAGGAAATGTAGCATGGGGGTGGGCACTGCCCTGGGCAACATGTACCAATACGAAAAAAAAAAGGCTTTAAAAAATATTATGTCAGGAGCATTTTTCCTTTGTAATGGCATTTACAAAGGAAAAAGGTTTTAAAATTGCCTGAAAAATTACTTTGGCAGCTGTCTATGATAGATTATTTGTTTGTTTCCCTGGAAATCCATACCAGATACTTTTGGTTTGTTATGAATTTAAGG